AGTATAAAATTTGGCATACTTTAGAGTTTTTAACATTTAACCAAACTGTAATGAATACTATTATTCTATTCTTCGCTTATCTAAGGAAGGCCCAAAACTAATGGTTTTGGGTAGACGTTTTCCCATATTTAATGGATAATGAAGACTATAACTCATTTTGAAAACATTTTCTTACATAATAAATATATACTTTCCACTAGCTTGATTTTTACCGAAAAAGTTTAGAAAAAAAGTTTTTTGTTCTTTTTTTGCCTGTTAGTCATTATTTTTCTCTATTTCTTATAATATTAATATTCACAAAAAAAAAAAAAAAGAAAAGAAAAAAATTCTACTTCTTGTTGCTGTAAAGCAACTTCGCTAATGACTCCATAAATTTATTCTGCTGTTATTGCAACAAAAAGATTTAAATTGGTATCATTTAGATCATGAGGTATCTAACCCTTGAGGGCCCTTTGATGAACAAAGATTGTGTCAGTTCTTTTTGGTTTGACCAAGGAAAAACATGTCATTTCAGTGAGATTATGGGAAACAAGCTGTGCTTCTCTACTGACCAAATACCCCTCCCCTTAACTCAGACCACAGACGGGAGCATCCATGGAATAAAAAAAAATTGATTTCTATCAGGGATTCACCCAGTCAGACCAGAACCTCCGAAAAGAATATAATGACCAAGCACAACACTGAAAATGATGTAAAAGATCCCAGCCCATAACCTAACTATGAGATACGTAAAGGGACTCATAGAAGGAATTACTCACTGAGTTGTTATGACCGATAAACCGATCAATCTACCTCATGTGAGAGACTCTTCCTCTAATCATCGAACCCTCTAGAAATCACATTTTCACACCAACATGAGGACAGCCTTACACCGACCTCACCAAGAGACCAAGTTTCCTTGAATTCACATACAGATGCTGGTCGTGAGAATGGTTAGAGTGGTTCCAGGCAATCGGCAGCCTTACAACGTCCTTGACAGGCTAAGGATTTTTACCTCATAAGGTAATACTCGAGCATTACGAGCGTTAATCTTTCGTTCAAAAACTACCCAACGTATGCTGCGGTTTTTAGTTAGTAGGTTAGTAAAAAAAAAAACACAAACAAACCAGCATTCGAAAACATTGGATATGGGTTCGACAACCGAAAAAGTTGAAACCATAAAGAAAAAAAAAAACTCTGAACAATGATATAGCTAATTTTTTACTAAAAAAAAAAATAATAATAAACCATAAAAAAAATGGATGACTCAGAGGCTAACAAGATTAAAAAAGGGAGACGTTAACGAAAAAACTGTAAACGCAATATCAGGAAACGAAATACGGCCGGCACACGAAGAAACGAAAAAAAAACAATCTCTTTATCTTTTTCGAAGAGGTGCAGAAATCACATGCAGGTGAAAGACATAACCCTCGAGAGTTCTCAGGGAAGTAGGAACCGAGCAAGAAAATAATACTTCTCCGCTACGAACGACGTTTCCACTGAAAAAGTTTGTAAGTGCGTTTGAAAAAAAAAAAAAAACCAATAGAAGGAAGAAAGACCATAAAATAATGTACTCTCCGTGACAAACGACGATACCCGCACACGACGGCATCGGAACTGAAAAAGGTTCGTAAGTGCGCTCGCCACAAAGACAACAAAAAAACAGAGCAAAAAAAAACTAAAAAAAAATATTTCTCTCCAAATGACATTGGTACTTCGTTCCTTCTCAAAAAAAATAAAAATAAAAAAAAATAAAAAGTAATCATCATCTGTTTTATCAAACCATTCAAAAAGAAATAAACTTATACTTCCCTACAATTCGTAATCAAATCTTCGTTGATGAAA